CCTATAATGATACTAGGCAAGCCGACAACTCACACACCAACATCTTGAAATTTAAATAATACGGAAACACGCTTTAGTAAGTAAAAGTCTCATAAAACTGAATGAAAACATCATAGCTCAATACAGAATATCCCAAAACCCGGGTGTCACTAAGTACACGAGTATCTATATAAATACATAGTCTTATAAACTATCTAAGAAAGTAGAAATGAATAAGTAAAAAATGAGAGATAGGGGAGGAGAGTCAAGGTCGATGGACGCCAAGGTAGCAACCTCGATAATCTCCGAACGACTGAAACTATGGGATCAACGACCACCGTGACCGGAAATACCTGGATCTTCACACAAAGTGCAGGGTGTAGCGTGAGTACAACCAACTCAATATGTAACAAGTCTAACCTTTGGACTGAAAGCAGTGACGAGTCCGAAAAATACAATCCAAATACATAATTAAACAGTATGGAAAACTTACAGTACATATGACACTAATATCTTAGAGAAACTCATAATTTGCAGGTACCAGTACAAGAATGTAGACATGCTTCCAAGTTTAAGAATTAAACTCAGAATAGATAAAATATGTCAAGTCTGAATGATATGAGGAATATGACATCTCTAAATCTACATGCCAATATGCATATCGATTGTGATGCAGCACAATGAAAGCCTCACGTACTCACACTCTCAGAGTACTCAACCTGACTGTCTCAATTCTCACTCATCACACTCAATCACTCAGCACTGTACATGGCAGATCCAGCCCACGACAAATCCAGCCCGAATCAAATATTGTGAATCAATAGCAACTGCGCTCACTGTGGGTGTGCAGACTCCGGAGGGCAGATCCAGCCTAAGTGCTATAATAAGCCAATCATGGCATGAATCAACAAAGCCTGCTGCGACGTGCAGCCCGATCCCATAAATATCACTCACAAATAGGCCCTTGGCCTCAGTCAATCATCAATTTCTCTAGTCTCTCGGGTTCACAACACTCATGCTGAGAAGCCCAAATCAATGATACGTGATGTGATAATGTATGACAACAGAAAATGAGATTTGATATGCAATGATGAATGCACAATGATGAAGGCGACTAAGTACATGACTGCGATTAAGAAAATAACTCAATAGCAAATAACGACCACTGTGGGTTCCAATAGTACCAGCTCATAGCTTAAATAGGATTCTAGCATAATTCACAGCTCAAGTGCTCTAACACATAGAGTGCTGTATTAATATTCAGATAAGATAGATACACAGTTCCATGGAATCGACTAAATCACAATTACTACAGTGCACGCCCACACGCTCGCCATCTCAACATCAATCACATAGCACATAATTTCTGGGATTCATACCCTCAGAACCAAGTTTAGAAGTGTTAATTACCTCAAACCGTGCAAATCTCTACTCCAACAAGCCTTTTCCACGCGAAACGACCTCTGAATTGCCTCGAATCTAGCCACAAACAATTCGATACAATCAACTCAAGCTATATGAATCAATTCCATATGAAAATGCTATGTTCTAAGTCAAAAGTCAAAAAGTCAACTAAAAATATCAACCCCCTGGCCCATGTATCGGAATACAATAAAAGTTAGAAAATCCGAACACCTATTCAATCACGAGTCCGACCATACCAAAATTACTCATATCCGACCCCGCTCAAATTCCCAAAATTCAGCCTAAGAAGTTTTCTCCATTTTCCCCAAATGTTTCAGTCCAAATCACTAATTAAATGATGAAATCAAAGATCTATTCATGTAATTTAACCAAAACCAAGTAAAAATCACTTACCCCAGTCACTCCCTCGAAAATCTCTCCAAGAATCGCCTCAAACAGAGCTACCAAAATTAAATTATGAAAAAAATGACTCAAACCCTTGTTTTTGAGATTTAATATTCTACCCAGAAGTCCTTAAACGCGATTGCGAAAAATACCTCACGATCGCGAAGCACAAACTATGCTACCGCAGAATTAACTCTATGCAAACGCGACGATCTCCACGCGAACGCAAAGCACTGTGATAACTAGGGATTTTAGTTCATTTTACACTCCTTTTGACTTGAGTTCTGATTAGAAATGTATACAAATAGTCCCAAAGGCTTACATGTTGTACTTGTTTGCAGGGTTTGGTAAAAAAAGTGACAAGTAGTCAAAACCAGCTCAAAAAGGAGTGAAACCTGCACAAGTACCAAGAACAAGTCAAGGTACTGCTGCAGCATAAAATCCACTATAGCCACAGAAGACCCACCGCGGCCGCAGTCCATTTAGTGGGGTCCGCGGTGGAAAAGGTCAGAGAGATGCAATTTTGGAAGCTCAAGCACTGCGGCCGCAGTCCATTTTGTGCGGACCGCAGTAGCCTCCTCGCGGCCGCAATCCATTTTGTGCGGTCAGTGGAGAGGAGATTCAGGGAGCTGGGAGTTTGGAAGATTGGAAGCCACTGTGACCGCAGTCCATTCTGAGGGATGAAATCTTAGCTTTCAAACTGGAGCCCAACGAACCATTGCATGAAATTTCGGAGAGATACCGGACTATGGTAAAGGAGTGTCCCAACAACGATATGACTGAGGCAATGATACAACAGACATTCTACCGGGGCATAAACACCACTAATCAGTGCATAGTGAACCAACTTGCCGGGGGA